TTTGAACTTTGTAATTTTCTTTTATTTGATTGTAAGAGTAATAATAAGTGTTTAAATAAATATCTGAAATAAGCGTAAACACTGAAGAAGTTAAAAATGTGCACTACATACGCTGCAGCGGAAATGGACGACGCCATTTCTTTAAATGAAATTAATTGCTGCTATATGTACATATGTATGTACATATGTAGGCATATACTAAATGTGAGCAAACAACATTTTGCTTGCATAGTCTTCTGTTCTCTTTTCACTGCAAGTTGTATTATTTTAGTATCTATTGCACAATTTTATACAGACAAAAGTAAAAAGTATAAAATAAATTTAAAATTAAAACAAGTAAGAGCAGCGCTGTCTTCGGCTATGCCGAAGGCTTCATACCTTTCATCAACATCTGAAAATTTTACCTTAACAGATTACTGTATTTGTAAAATTGTATATATTTACAAAATACGTAGATAGAGGAGATACATATATTTATGAAAAACCATATCTAACCAATCAGAGGTATGGAAGATATACCTTATATAGCACCAATCTAAGTGATTTTCACTGCTGTGTGATCGGTATGTAAACCGGTAACACAATTTAATGGGTTTAGACTCCTACATAAAGGAGATATATAGTAATAACTGGTATCTGAACAAGCAGTGGTTTCAGAGATAAAGCTTATACAGCATAGATTTTGATGATTTTCTCAGTAGACTTTGTATTATTATTTATAGAGTAGCTTACGAAATTTTTCTGTTTTAGCAGTCCAAATAAAGAAGTTTTACAGTTAAACCCCATATCTGAACAATCAGTTGTGTGGAGGATATAATAAATAGGTTACAGTGACCCGCTCTTTGTTAATTTTACTGTAAACTTTCAGTTGGTAATTAGTGAAAATATTGCGAAATTTCATGTTTCTAGCTGCATATATGGAGAAGTTATAACAAAGAATCTCGAATCTGAACAATCAGTTGTATGGAGGCTATAGATTATAGCGACCCGATCTTCGCCATTTTCATTGTAAGTATTTTTTTGATAACGGGTGGAAATATTGCGAAATGTCATGTTCCCAGCTGCATAAGTGGAGGAGTTATAACGTAAATTCTCATAACTGAACAATCAGTTGTATGGGAGATATATGTTATAGTGACCCGATCTTTGTTATTTTCACTATAAGTATTCTGTTAACAATGAGTGAAAACGGCGCGAATTTTCATGTTCCTAACTGCATAAATGGAGAAGTTATCGCAAAAAATCGCATATCTGAATAATCAGTTGTATGGAGGCTATAGGTTATAGCGACCCGATCTTCGCCATTTTCCCTGAAAGTATTCTTTTGATAATGAGTGACAACAGTGCCAAACTTCCTTGTTCCTATCTACTTAGATGGAGGAGTTATAACGAAAAGGCTTATATCTGAACAATCAGTTGTATGGGAGCTATAGGTTATAGTGACCCGATCTTTGTAATTTTCACTTTAAGTTTTCTGTTGATAATGGGTGGAAGTATTGCAAAATTTCATGTTCCTAGCTGCATAAATGGAGAAGTTATAACGAAAAATCTCATATCTGAACAATCAGTTGCATGGGAGCTATATGTTATAGTGGTCCGATTCTTCCGGTTCCGACAAATGATTAATAAATTATAAAAATACACCTACCTATCAAATTTCATCCGGATATCTCGAAAACTGAGAGACTAGATGGCATACAAACAGACGGACAGACGGACATGGCTAAATCGACTCAGCTCGACGCTCTGATCATTTAAGTATACATTTTAATGGGTCTATCTCTTCTTATTCTGGTACTTACAAACATCGGACCAAAGTTATAATACCATTTCATGCTCATGAAAGGTATAAAAAAAAAACTTTTTAATGTACCACGCTTTTATAAATCGACTAAAATTAGAAAATAATATTTCTCAGTCCCATAGAACTTGTTTTGATAACTTTTGATTTTGAAATTTTAGCAAAAGTCATTATATATATGAAAAGTGTGGGGCGCATGTAATAGGCCTGATATGAAATTGAAGAGTAATATATGTATGTATGTGGGTATATTAATAACGGCCGCTTAAAATCGATCTCAAATTTGTACTTTCGCTGTAGAAATTTTAGGTCTATGTTATGTATGTAGTTTGAATATTGTTAATTAAATCTAATGCTTTGTATTGGATGCGCTCCACGTTTTTCGTTTTCAATCTCATAAATTGTTTATAATGACTTTCTAAAATTTCAAAATCAAAAGTTATCAAAACAAATTCTTAGACTGAGATATATTATTATTATAACGCTTTTATCAACTTGCATTGTTGTATTTCCAGACCGCTTTGAATGTTGTATGTCCAGACCACTATTTATACTAGCTGCATTTTTTTGTAAGCGAGCGACAAAAGAACGCTCAACTCGGGTAAAATTTCCTTTTAGCTACTGAAGCAACCCTGTTTAAATGGACGTATAAAAGGAAGCAAAAATTTCCCTCTCCACTTTCCCATTAACAATTCACAATAGAGCAGTTTTTTCACTTACCACACTAGCCTTCAGATCGCATATTTTTTAACCGACCTGGCTAAGCTCGGATAAATAGCCGAGTTTGTGTTGGTGCTTTGCGTGTATTTCGTAATTTAAGCGAGTGTTCTTTTGTAGCTCGGTTGCAAAAGAATGCACCTACTATTAATGTAGCAAAGCTTTTTATGGCAAATTCTAGACATCAACCTCGTTGTAGATGTCATATCAAAGACATACAATTAGAAAAACTCTAGAGATAGATGTCGCCTCGCTAGAAGAAGTTAAAAATATGCACTACATAAACTACAGCGGAAATGGACGACACGTAATTTCTTTAAATGAAATTAATTGCTGCTCTATATATGTACATATGTACATATGTAGGCATATACTAAATGTGAGCAAACAACATTTTGCTTGCATAGTCTTCTGTTCTCTTTCACTGCAAGTTGAATTATTTTAATATTTATTGCAAAATTTTGCACAGACAAGACTAAAAAAGTAGAAAATATATGAAATAGAAAACAACTTTTTAATATACAACGCTTTTATAAATAGACTAAAATGTATAAAATAATATTTCTCAGTCCCACATACTTTGTTTTGATAACTTTTGATTTTGAAATTTTAGCAAAAGTCATTATAAACAATTAATGACATTGAAAATGAAAAGCGTGGGGCGCATGTAATACACTTGAATTGATATGAAAAGTAACATATGTACAGTTGTCCACAAATAATAGGAGTGGGATATTTTAACCTGTTTTGGCTATTTGTCTTTAGTTTATTTAATGTTTCGTATTTTTTTGTAAGCCTAGCTGGTAATACAACAAACACCATATAAATTTACATTTTCAAGTTTGTACAAAAATTATAAAAATTCTGCAAATTTTCACCAAAATTTCAAACTATTCAACCAGAATCTTTAGAAAATATGTTGGTGTGCAGTTTTGTAGCCCATTCAATTCTAGTCTGAAGAAGTGCAAGTTTCAAGCTGCTAAAAAATTCCGTTGATTTTTGAGAATTTTTTCGGTTGAAGGTGTTTCACGTTTTTTCCATACAAAGTATGTTCGACAATTTTCTTTTATATGGAGGACACTGCCAGCAAAAAAAATTGCCAAAAATCAACGGAATTTTTTAGCAGATTGAAACTTGCACTTCTTCAGACTAGAATTGAATGGGTTATAAAACTGCATACCAGAATTTTCTCTGAAGATTCTGATTAAAAAGTTTGATACTTTGGTGAAAATTTACAGAATTTTAATAATTTTTGTACAAAGGTTGAAATCTGAATTTATTCGTTGTTTGTTGTATACCCAGCTTGACTTTTCTATAAAAGTAATAAACATTAAATAAACAAAAGACAAATAGCAAAAACTGACCAAAATAACGCACTCCTATTATTTTGTGGACCACTGTATGTATATGGGCATTTGAATAACGACCGCTTAAAATCGATCTCAAATTTGTACTTTCGCTGTAGAATGTTATGTAGTTTGACTATTGTCAATGAAATCGAATGCTTTGTTCTGCATGCGCTCCACGTTTTTCGTTTTCAATGTCATTAATTGTTTATAATGACTTTTGCTAAAATTTCAAAATCAAAAGTTATCAAAACAAATTCTGTGGGACTGAGAAATATTATTTCCTACTTTTTAGTCCATTTATAAAAGTGTTGTATATTAAAAAGTTTTTATTTTATTTTTTTCTAAATTTGTTTTGCTATGTTGCTTTGACCAGGGCTTGAACCCAGGCGCTGCGGAGTGGAAGCGCGCACTGCTTGCCACTACACCACCCTGGCCGCAGTCGTATTATACGACCAGTGTGTTTTGTTACACTTGGTGATCGATGAGCGGACTCTTGCGCTTCAAATAAAAGGATAATATTTTACAGGCTTGTACCGGACCTTGTAAAGAAACATCTTTTCACTATTATAAATGGATGAAATAAAAAAATATTTCGACCCAGCCTGGAGTAAAACCTAATGTAACTAAGATACAATAAGGCAAAGCATTGTAAGCATTCGAAGTGAACAGTTCGATTTCGAATTATTTTCTTACCTCGGACTCGTAACTGCCCAACAGCAACAACTGTTGATAGGCTTTTTCGCTACGTCACAAAAAAGTCTGTGCTGTAACTCCTGCAAAAATCAATTTCAAATTCCACGCAAAAATCTGCGTGTTCCCCGATTCCCGACCCAAACATGAATTCTCCGGAAATCGGGGTTTCCATCGAAAGTTGCAACTCTGATTCTAACAACCACTCCTTCTTCGTGTTTTGGATGCGTTAAGAGATAAGCAGCATTTTATAGTACGTTCGAGTTGTAATCACAACTGCAATCTTGCTCCATTATCGCCTGAGCAATTGTAATTAGTATCAGAACTGCAGAATTACCGCTTTTGTGATGTACATCAAATAAGCCTATGTAGGGCATCTACGTTACATTATAAATATTTCCTTCCTATCTCTTAAACTAGCTAGGGTACAATCAAGATTTCCATATAGCATTCAATTTATTTATCTTTTATTTATGTATATAAAAATGAATAATCGGAACAGGAAGTGCCGATGAGAAATACATTTGATCAACTATAATGTGGTGAGATTCATAGCATTTCAAGTCTAACCATTGGGCCTTTATGTTCCTGTGAATTATACGCTTCGTGGTACAACACGATTTTCGTGACGTACTACCACATCTACGATGCTCATGTTCGGTGTCAAAAAGTTGACAAGGCGGTCAGCTCCTGGACGAGAAAGACGGTCAAATGGATAACCCATCGCACGGCGATCTGGATAGAGGCGATCACGCACGCCACAGTAGGATGCAGCATCACTGCAGGTTCCCACAAGTTGTTGCTCGATCTGCCATAAAATGTGTGATTAAATATGCGGAGGAATAAGCTTCATTAACAAAACATGTTTCCTTACCCTATCTTGATCGTAGTTGGACACCATAACAAACAACTCGCAACGTAAACCTTCGGGCAAACCTTTGGGAATAAGCATATGATTAGGCCACCCACAACCGCAGAAGTTGAATTCCAGTTCATCGGCGCTTCCTACTGCCGGGCGATTTACATCTAAATTACGGAATGTGCGATCGAAAGGAATGGTAACGCTGGACTCAGTGGAACGACGTCGAACAGTGTTTTGGCCAGGGTTTACTGTAAATTGCATTGTAATAAGTTATGAAACATTCATACATACACACATACATATGTACATGCATACGCGAGGTACTTACGTGACACAACAAATTTATCTAACTCTATCATTAACAATCGTTGATCTTTGAACAGCATTCCTTGCCCGCGCTCGTCAGTCTTTGGTCCCAAAAATATTCGTACAGTACCGAAACGTTGGGCGCCGCTTTCGTTGTTTATGTTGATGGTGTAGGTGAAAGGAGTATGTTGCAGATGAGTAAAGCGTGCAAATACATTGCCACGTGGCACAAAGTCCATGCCGCGGGACAAGTCAACGTCTGATTGTTGCCAGAAGGTTTGAAGTACATTTGGTCTACCACCTTCGGGACTTACTTGTACACCAGTGACAGAGACACCCTCATAGCTGAGGTCTGGTAAAGTGTATGGCGACAGACGAGTCTTGTGCTCTTGGAAAATGTCATCGATATATGCGTGCCATCTGTAGAAAACGGGATCACGCATGGCAGTGGCTGAATCGCCCATCACACCAAAAGACTCCAAATGACGGTGATCGGGATCGTGAGAGTACGAAATGAACACGTGACCCATGTTGTGGAAGTCCCCATATAGGCTGCGATTTGGCGAAATAATAGATGATTCCATCATGTTTCCCAAAACGTCAATACCGCGAACTTCGTCCAGTGGTATGCGATTGCCACTTTCCTGGAACAAAGGAATGCTTATTAGCGCTAATAATATATTTTTAATGAACGTAAAAGCTGCATTTCGAACTTACATCAGTGGCAAAGCCCTGAGATATGGCTTCAAAGATGCGATCACTCCAGCGCTCCAAGTCACTTACATCCAAGCTAATTTGATCCAGCTCCCTGTTTAGGTCTGACAATTTTGTATCTTCAAAGCGTGGTGGCCAAGCTCGACTAGCCACCAAGGAGTCCATTTTAGGGAAGTAACCCTCCTGTATTGGTTCGCGCAAATTGTTGAAGCGCACAACTCTAGGAAGATTGTTACTGAAACGTTCCAAATTATAACGAGCCACCACTTGTTCATGCATATAGTAGAAGAGTTCACCGCGACGGTCCTTGTTTACAATTGCCCGATCGCCAGCTTCAAAAGGATACACTAAATGCCAGTGCCAATGGTGCAGGTTAATGCCAAGATCTTCGCGGAAGTACCACAGTCGATGCTCTGGTTCTAAATCAGAAGCAGTGTAATCGCGCGGAATAGTAATTGGCATACGGGATCCTTCGGGAACCACAGTGGCTTCCTCTCGTACCTGACGAAAAACGCGAGAGTCCACAAACTTGTCGGGGAAGTTTTGTGCAAAGGACGGAAGATCCAGTCCTTTAGTATCCTGGCGATGGAGCAAAGCCACCGAGAGTGCATAATTGAACAAGTAAGGATTCACACGATCGTGAGCATATGCAGCCACACTCTGGAGGTCGTCAATGGAGCGTACGCCCATAAAAATGTCAATGAGACGTCCAGCAATGCGACGATGAGCCGGAATAAAAAGGGAGAATTGCGCATCTCGCGGCAATGACATGGGTATGCGCAGATCCGGGATAGATATATCTCTAACAGGAATACGCTGTTCTGCTTTTTCACCGAAACGACTTTGCACCTCGGTGCCGATGGGACGGTAGCGATCAGTGAGGAAGTTATCGGGAACATCGAACACAGATGACTTGCCCTTCTCCATGAAAATAGGCTCGTTAGGGCGATCGAAGAGCAGCAACAGATTATTCTTGTCAGCCATTATCAACGATGGTTATGGAGTTCCTCTTTCAAAAAGTAAAACTGTAGAAATATATTTAATACACAATGTGGTAGTTTCACAACGAAACTGATGAATTATAATGTGAAAATAGTTCTTTTATAGTGCTCATATGTAAAAGCTAGTGAATACTTATCACTTGTTTCAGTGGTCAGAATATTTTGTGGTCTTCGTCGTAAAATTCACCATGGCTGTGTACACATGGATGTGATAAAAGTTTTTAAACTATGTATATACAATGTATGTATGTATATTTTACTTGCATACCCTCCAATAAAGTAATTAATAAACCATTTATCACATTTCCTGGGTTAAGCCAATACATTTATTTTTCAGCTAATAATCTTCTTAAATTTCATATATTTTTATATTTGTATATCTTTTAGGTGTTTTTAAATATATGTATAAGCTTGTATTTAGTTAGGATTGAGCTACTTAGAACATACACCAAAAGTTAGTTTTTAATTCTCGTGTGGTTGCATTTAGGTTTTGATTCATAATTAAATGCTTATGCTGTTGTTTTTTTATATCCATGCGTTAAAGCATCAATTTTAATAATGTTACCATTGAAAGAGCATTTCCCTAAACATACAATTCTTTTGTTTTTATTTTAAGCAACTGTACATATGCTATCATACAAATCTGTATTAACACGTACAAACATACTTACATATTCAATAAAATATAAAATATATTTAGATAAGTTTTAAATAATACATATATATGCATGCACTTCAATACTTCAGACAAAAGCTGCGATTTGAAGCTACGTAAAATGGTTCAAAGTGATATTCGTTCAGTGGAAAACGGAAGAGTTTTAACTCAATAGGACCTACTAGTTCAGATTAATGTATGTATGTAGAAACAGTGGTTTGTATAAAAAGTTCTGATATGTATAGTAAAGCTCTTTGGAACAGACTGCGTTTTGAAAATTATATACAGTGACTCCTAATAGCGTTCCTTAACACTCAAATAATTCATAGTATCCTTTTATATATGAAAGTATTTTCCCTTGTTATTAAATAGTATTGCATATCGATGGCTGAGTGGAAGATCGACCTATCTCAGAAGCCAGTTCAAAAACGCCCTATCTGAGAAAAATTTTCAAGAACGCCCTATTTCAAAGTTTGATTGAAAAGCGCCCTATTTCAGAATTGAGTTGAATAATGCCCTATCTCAGAATTCGTTTCAAAAACGCCCTATCTCAAACGAAAATACATTGAAAATAAGCTGAGATAGGGAGTTTTTGAATCGGCAGATGAGATAGGGCATTTTTCAATGAAAATCTGAAGTAGGGCGTTCTTGAAAAGTTTGTTAAAAAAATTTTCTGAGATAGGGCGTTTTCGAACTGGTTGCCGAGATAGGTCGATCTTCCACTCAGCCATCGATATGTAGTGAAGTATATTTTTGGATATTGAAAGTTTATATGTATGGGCATTTACAGGCATGAACATCCGTACAATATGTTCGTGTCTTTATTAAATTAATGAATGAAAATTTTTCTTTCGTATAATACTTTAACAAAAAATTTTAATCTTAATCTTAATATACTTTTTCATTGCATTTCGCTTAAGTCAACGTACATACATACATACATAGGAGATATTCCACGAGTAAGCGAGGCTTTTTTGTACCCTGCAGGAAATGTATCTAACTATAAGTTAACTGTAAGTTGGTTAGGAAGGAGCTAAAAGTCACTATTATCTGTATATTTTCTTTGACGAGAGCTAACTATATTTCTATGGCGATGACCGCGCAATAGTCAAGGGCGGCTACCTCTGCATTAGATGTAGTCCAGGAGGTACCAGGGGTTACCTTTGCTTTGATGTAACTAACTTGCAACTAACTACTTTTGGACATAAAATATCAATAGGAAAAACAAAATATTTTTTTATTTCTTTTTTATTTTCATATTTTATTTACTTTATTTATTATATTTTTCCATTTCATATTTGTTTAGATATTCTGCTGTAGGTGGTCCCATATTGGAACTCCGTCAGACATACATAACTTCAAAATGATAATATGAAATTTCGGTCTTCCTTTTATCTGTCCTCAATTCAAAAAGGTATTTGCGAAGTGCAGGATATTTAAATAGAAACGCGTTTAAAGAAAACAATCTCCTGCATTACTTGTCAACTAGTTTCAAAGTAGCGTTTTGTAGCTAATTACAAGCTACATGTTTTATTGAAATCCGGCAAAAAAGCTAACTAGAAGTGGGTTATTTTTATCAATTGATAGTTTTTTCTGCAGGGTAATTGCACACATATACACATGTGTAATTAAGTACTTGTTAAACATGAACGGTTTGATTAATCAGTACTAAGGCCGTGTGCGAGTTAACCTAAATTTTAGTACCTAAACTAATATGGAAATTTCCTGCACTGCTACAATTCAGGAAAAAAGCTGCTAAAACTGCGCGGCTTCGTTTGACAACCTAAAATGTTTGTTTCAACTCCTCCAAATCATACTATGCTAATTCTGACTAATTCTAAGGTGACTTAGCATTTTATGGTTTGGAGGCATTTTTAGTATAAATAAATAATATAAAAAAAAAACTTTTTAATATACAACGCTTTTATAAATGGACTAAAAAGTAGAAAATAATATTTCTCAGTCCCATAGAATTTGTTTTGATAACTTTTGATTTTGAAATTTTAGCAAAAGTCGTTATAACAAATTTATGAGATTGAACATGAAAAGCGTGGGGCGCATATAATAGCCACCTGAATTGATATGAAGGGTAATATATGTTCATATGTATGTGGATATATGAATAACGACCGCTTAAAATTGGTCTCAAATTTGTACTTTCGCTGAAGAAATTTTAGGTCTATGTTATGTAGTTTGCCTATAGCCAATTAAATATAATGCTTTGTATTGCATGCGCCCCACGCTTTTCATTTTCAATCTCATAAATTGGTTATAACGACTTTTGCTAAAATTTCAAAATCAAAAGTTATCAAAACAAATTCTATGGGACTGAGAAATATTATTTTCTACTTTTTAGTCCATTTATAAAAGCGTTGTATATTAAATTTTTTATTTTTTTTATATTATTTATTTTCTACTTTTTTGTCTTGTCTGTATAAAATTTTGCGATAGATATTAAAATAATTCAACGATATTAATAGAAAGGTGCACACACATGCATTTACATATGTATGTACATACAAACGAGCACCAATTAATTTTATTTAAAGAAATGGCGTGTCGTCTATTTCCGCTGTAGATGTCATCTACCTCGCCCTATTCACTACAGATGTCGCCCTATGTACTAGACTTTTTTATAGGAACTTTGCAAAGCAAAGGTTTAATGGTGTCGGACACACAACATTGAAAGTTTCTGGATCCACAACATTGAACGTTTCTGGAGCCACAACATTGCAAGTTGATAAAAGCGTTGTAATAATAATAATAATAAAAAGTACAAGTTTCAACTCAATACAAATTATCGTTAATTTTTTAGAACTTTTTTTGTCGAGGGTGTTGTGCATGTTCTTCCATATCGTTGGCTGAGTGGAAGATCGACCCACATAACTCGGCAGCCAATACGAAAACGTCCTATCTCAGAAAATATTTCAATAACGGCCTATTTTAGAATTTTATTGAAAAACACTCTATCTCAGAATTTGGTTGAAGAACGTCCTATCTCAGCTGCTGATTAAAAAACTATCTTTCTAAGCAAATTTGCAATGTGTTTTCGTTTTGAGATAGGGTGTTCTTCAACCAAATTCTGTGGTAGGGTGTTTTTCAATAAAATTCTGAAATAAGGCATTCTTCAATCAAATTCTGAATTAGAGCGTTCTTGAAAAGTCTCCTGAGATAAGGCGTTTTAAAACTGGCTGCCGCGATAGGTCGATCTTCCACTCATCCATCGATATAAAAATAGATTTTCTTCATATGTACGTTACATGGAAGAAAATGCTGAACACGCACGCAACAAAAAAAAATTCTAAAAAAATCAACGGTATCTAGTTTTTAGTGACTTGGAACTTCTCCTTTATCACACTAAGGGCCGGTTGCTCAAAGCCTGGTTGACACTAATCTTCGGTTAACATCGTTATCGACGTCTTCGATTCCATGCATATAACACGGTGTCGGTAACGTCGATAACGATATTTAACCGGCTTTGTCAACCAGGCTTTGAGCAATCTACCCTAATACTATGTTCACGTTGAACCATAAACTCGAGTTTAACGTTTTGAGTTTACGACCAACTGTTAAGTGTTCTCATTGGGGTGTTTAATAAACTCAGAGTTTAATTTGACATTTGTTTGTTTACTTTTACTTTTCATATTTAGGTTGTTCCCGTACTCCAGGGTTTAGACAGAAATAGTCCGAAGTAGCGGTGGTGTAAAATTCCAACAGTTTGGCAAAAAAAAAAAAATGTAACTCGATAGAACTTTTCATGCTGAATTCGACTATACCAAGATCATTTGACACAAATAAAAGCCAATGCTAATAAAAGAGGTTAAATTTGAACTTTTATATTTTTTATATTTATAGTATAATATTGTTGTTACCATTACTATATTTTTCTGTACTTTATTTAATTAGATTTTAGTTGAAGTTAATTTTGTAATTTTTTTTGGATTATTTGTACACTGAAAAGACCTCGCGTTTTACTGTACTCAAGAAGTTAATGAATTGAATTGAATTGAATATCTCGGAACCTATTTGACCGATCACAAAAACATTGATGCTTGTTTAAACATAATTTAAATACCTTCTACGCGAGGATTTGCAGTTCCAAATTCGACAGATGAGATCTAGTTCGTTCTGCATCCCCTTTTCATTAGTTCCAAACCAGTTCCTAATTCGACAGATGAGATCTAGTTCGATCTGCATCCATTTTTTATGTGTAGTTCCCAACCTGTTATAAATTCGTCACCTTAGATATATATTTCTAATCAGGCTTGTCGAAACATTTCCCTTTTATATTAAATACGATCGGTTGAAGGAAGCACAATACGATCACAAATGTTTAAATGCATTTTTTAAAAATTTATAAACCACATTA